GTAATATCTTTCAATTGTAAAGGCACTTATTACTTCTAGAGGCCTTATACATATTTTGTTTGATTTCATTCAAATTACCTTTTGTTTTTTGTTGTGATTTTAAGTTTTTATTACATTTTAAGGTAATAAAACGTATAAGAATACATTTTATTGCTAATGTATAAGAATGTAATATTTTCATATGTTGATCTTAAATCTAGCAACATTGCTGAACTCTCGTTAATTCTGTAATTCATCTGTAGGTTGTTGGGCTTTCTGTGTAAGACAGTCATATTACAGACAATAATAATTGTTTCTCCTTTTCCATTCTCTTTACCTTTTATTTCTTTTTTTTAATTGATTATGCTGTTACAGTTGTTCTATTCCCCCTTTTATTCCCCTCCACCTTACCCCCCCCCGTCCCCACCATTACCCCCCCTTTAGTTTATGACCATGTGTCTCAAGTTCTTTAGATTCTATATTTCCCCTACTATTCTTGCCCCCCCATCTATTTTCTATCTACTGTCTATGCTACTTATTTTCTGTACCTTCTCCACCCTTCTCCTCCTCCCACTCCCCTGTTGCTAACCCTCCTTGAGATCTTCATTTCTGTGTTTCCACTCCTGATCTAGCTGTTCTCTTAGTTTGCTTTTGTTTTAGGTGTGGTTGTTAATAACTGTGAATTTGTTGTCCTTTCACTGTTCATGTTTCTTTAACTTCTTTTTCTTAGATAAGTCCCTTTAACATTTCATATAATAAGGGCTTGGTGATGATGAACTCCTTGAATTTGATCTTATCTGAGAAGCACTTTATCTGTCCTTCCATTCTAAATGAAGGTTTTGCTGGATTAGCTAGGACTTCCTATCAACTGAAGTCAAACTTGCCATAGATTTTTGATAGATAATTTTTATCAAATTAAGAAAGTCCCCTTCCAACCCTGGTACAGTGAGAGTATTAGCTATGGTGCTGAATTTTATCTAATGCTTTTGGGGGGGCATCATCTGTGGAAATGATTGTATGCTTATTTCCTGTAACACATTAATGTGGTATATTTTGTTAATAGATTTCTTAAGATTTAACAAATATTTTTCAATTAAAATTAGCTAATTTATGAAAGGGGAAGGAATAAAATACATATATATGTAGGTTTATAAAATGTTAAGGATTCGACCAAGGGAAGTAGAAGCAGATCTTTGCTTATTGAAACTCATACCTAATTCTACTGTACTCAACCCATCTTTTGTAAGAGTTTTTTTTTTAATTTTTTGAAGCATTTATACAGTAATAATTGTCTTCGAAGTTAATCAGTTCACAGCGCTTCCCATGTACATTCGCACTTCATCACTACTCTCAATGACATATTCATAATTTCTCCAGTTTCGGTCTGAACATCTAACTTGCTCTGGATGCTGGTTCTAGTGCAGGTTTTCTAATTCGCCCTATGGCCACAGGCAGCGCATTGTAGATCTCTGACTTCACCCACATCTGAAGGGTAATTAGTAACACCTTTTTAAACCTGCTTTAGAGGGAAGTAGGCATAGGGTTTGTGTGAAAACATTTTGCTAAAGTTGCTAAACAGACAAGGTAAAATATGTAACATTTTATTATACTGTTGTCTAATATTTGATTTTCTTTTTATATTTTAACCAAATAAAGACTACATACTTTCAAACTACAAAATTCAGTAGTTATACTAGGTAAATTAAAGTAGTAAAGCTGGCCATAATAGTAAACCCATTCATCTGTGCTCTCATTTAAACGAGATTATATAAATTAATTATATTTTATTTATATTATATATATAAATATGATTATCTAAATTATATATAATTGTATAATTTATATGTGACTTATATAAATAATGTTTATATAAAATAGGTTAAATTTTGTGAAAATATTCCTATTTATTCTAAACCAGGAGTTCTTGCCCATTTCAGTAGATTGTCTGGCACTGGCCATGGCATCAGGCACTTGAACAGTCATTTTTTCCATAGACTTTGTCATATTTGGCAGCCCAACCAGGATCTGTTAGCCAAAGGCCAGATCAAGCATGCCATTCTCATCAGCCATTGCTGCTAATTTCTCATATACGTGCTTTTCAAAAGTGAGGTGACGGAGCAAGCCAAGGTTCTCTCAAATGCTCCCAAGCCATCAATATCTAGATTATTTTCAACCACAACATCTAGCAGAGAGTCACCAACTTTTCCTTTGGTTGTTAATGTTTCACCCTTGCGGTTTAAAAAGTGGACTGTTTCATCTTCTGAGCTATGCCAACACGCTCAGTATCCAATGGTGATGGCCCAGACCCACCTCAGAAGCCCCTCCTGGCCTGGGTTCCAGTTGGGTTCTGGCAAGGAGCAGCCACCCATGGGCCACAGAGGAGGTGTGCAGAAGCCCGGCACCACAGTCTGCACAATAGCAACCGCAAGAAGTCCCCAGTTGCCAGTGGACAGCGTGAGCCCAGCCTCCGTGAGGGACCCGTGGGCTGGGGTGCCAGAGAGGTCCCGCTCCGTGCCACGTGTTGAGGCCCTAAGAGCTTTTTTCCACTAAGTTTGTCCCCTCAAATGCACACATTTCTTCTAGAGAAGATGGTAAACAGTAAAATGATTAGGAAGCATAGTGGGATACATAGTAAGGAAAAATAATAAAATGTTAAATAGGATAAATGTTCTGTAGTTTCAATGCTGATGTAAGGACACATTGGTTGTGAAAGCTAGTATTACAGTAATCCAGTGAAGAAAATTTATTTGTAGGATTAAAGGAAAGACAGATGTGTTACTTGTCATGTTTATTTTTTTTATTTACTTAGTTTTTAAAAATTAACCTAGAAATAATGTGTGCTTATTTGGTATGTGTCCTGCCAGCCTTTTTTCAGTACCCAAGAACAGTTTTCTCTCTTTATTATTTATTAAATTTATTGGGGTGACATTGGTTAATAGGGTCATATAGGTTTCAAGTGTACATGTCTATGATACATAGTCTGTATATTGTGTACCCACCAGCCATAGTCAGATCATCTTCCATCTTCATGTATTGGCCCCTCTACCACCCTCCCACCTCCTCCTCTCTGGTACCACCATCCATTTTCAGTAGAATATAATGTATACATTTTTTAAAAATCTTCATTCGTGGATCTGTTTATTGATTTTACAGAGAGAGAGAAATATTAATGTGAGAGAGATATATCAGTGTGAGAGAGAAACATCAATTGGTTACCTCCCGTAACCTCTCTGGTGGGGGATTTAACCTGTGGCCTTTTGGTGCAGGGAAGACATTCCAACCAGCTGAGCCACCTGGCCAGGGCAGTGTATGCATTTTTAAAACTACTTTGGATTTGAATTAAATATCCAGAATGCTCATCCAATCTTATCAGTCTCTCCTTTTTTAAGTATTTGAAATTGTGGAGGTGTTTCTAAAGTTTATTTGGATTGAATTTTAGCATGGAGTATTGTTTTCTCTTAAATCTTCCTAGAGAAGTGCTCATGCATGTACCTGAACATTCCCATAGGCCATTCACTAGAGTATTTTTTGTGCTAGTAAAAAAACAAAACCAACGTAAATATTCACCATTAGGGACTTGAATTATTGGATACATCCGTGCATTGAGATATCCTGCAGCTGTAATTGATGATGGTACAGTTCCATATTTATACATATAGATCGATCTATAAGTTATATGATGAGAAGAAAGAAATCAAAGTCCAAAATAGTGTTTCTGTTTTATCATTTGTATTCTTTTTCACTGAGGAAAAGGGTCTTTGTATTTACTTAGTCATTATGCACCACACTGTAAAATAAAGTGAAGCCATTATAAAGAATGTTATGACGTGGAAGGATCTCTAAGACAGGTCATTAATTTTAAAAATTATAATTAAATAAGCCATAGAACATTGATCTCATGTAAAAAAAAAAGTTGTGTGCACATTTTTATCTCTGTAAGTGCACATCCAGAAGAACACAGTATATCCACACATACCTACCACCAATGGTTACTTGGAAACTGGAGGAAGTCCTTATTCTGTATATATTATTTGAATTTATAATAAAGGAAGAGAGAATATGTGCTCACTAAAAAATGAGGATTTAAAGATAAAAAGGAGGAAATAAAAAGTACCTACAGGAGCTTCACCACCCACACACACTCTTAGATAACTGCTATTAAAGCCTTGATAGATATCCTTCTAGAGGTGAAGGGCAGTTTGTGGGACATACAATCCTACACCAAGGAGGGAGAGAGAGCACCACATAAAATGTTTACGTTTAGCTTAGCAGACAGTGGGCATGTTTTGTTAAGAAGGAAAACAATATGGCATTTAGCTTATTGTCTATTTTGATTTTAAGTTTCATTATATCCCTACTGTCTTTAATATAATAGCAGTCACTAAGTATGCATTTAAGAAATATGTGAAAGTGATCTACCAACCATTTGTGAAGTTCTTCCAGTTCCAAAACCCAACATTAAGAAATCATGGTGATTGACTATTAGAAAACTTCAACTGTAGCTAGATAACATTGGGCAGATACTCCTTACTATTATTACTAACTATAGCTTGCATCAGTACTAATAATACTTAATACTGCTGTCTTCTCAAATCTGTACAAGACAGGGAAAGCTCTCAGAATAAAAACTCTGGAGTGGCATAGAATGCTTTGTTTAAGAAATAATACCTAATCTTTTCATTCACTAAGGAGCTCAGGCTTTCTTTGTCCTTTTACAGGCCTTGTCTCTCACACCCAGAACACTTCTCTATACATGTAGTAGAGAATGCAATGATTCAATTACCATGGTGTAAGAGAGATTATAAGAACTGTAGTGTTTAGCTTTTCTGTTCTTGTGCTTGTCTTGCAGTCAAACAGAGATCAGATTGAAACTACTTAATTGGAAAGTATTTTTATATGTATGTAAGTATACATAAAGGATAATTTTAACTCTATAAATAGTTCATTATCATGGAGCCTGACACTGTTTCTGAATTTATTAAGGAAACATTAATTTGTACTATTTGTGTTTTTCTTCTTAGTTTCTGCCACTGCCTTCTACAAAGCACAACCTGTAATTCAGTTCATGTGTGAAGTTCTTGACATTCATAATATTGATGAGCAACCAAGACCTCTGACTGATTCTCATCGGGTAAAATTCACCAAAGAGATAAAAGGTGAATTAGCATTTGGAACAACTTAATTATAAAGTTTATGGGTATAACAAACTTTTATTGGAAAAACTTAATTAAAATCTAGTATATAGCATTACCAGTAAAATAAAAATAAATTATAAAATGTTGTATTAAGTTCATTATCATAACATCTTAAGTAGTGTTTTAATGAAAGAAGTGCCAAGTAATGGAATTAATATTAATACCAGCTAATTTTTTGTTAATGCTTTTCCATACTAGCCAAAGGTATAAGAGCATCTCATAGGGAGCTACTTCTATAATACCATTAAACGTAGAGTGCTTATTTCAGAAACATTGTTACTTTAGAACTGGAATCATCCTTTGAACATATTCTAACATAACGACTTATGTTTCTGAAACGACAGCAGACTTTTATTCCTTTTAAAACGTATGGACGTGGGGCTAGCCTGTTTCTGGAGTCGGAACGTAGTTATTTCACATACATGATACAGTTGATCATGTATCTTGTCTTTTTTAGTTAGTAGCTAAAATTCGTGCGGCGATATTGCATTATGTGTGTGTTTTACTAATATAAACTCACCTCTCTACACAGTCTTCCAAAAAAAAGAAATGAATTTTAATAGCATTCTAAAATGTATGTTTTGTATATATTTAGTCTTTATATGTGGGTACATTTCTATATGCATTTAAATATACATACACAGTTTTATATGCAAACCCACATACACTGACTCTATCAGCAAGTTAAAGGATTTTTGAAGAGCAGTTTTGATTCAGAATAGCTGAATACATCCTGTTCGTTACAGTCATCAATCATTCTTTGCCATTTAGTGACCAGGAAAGAGGTAGTAATTGTAATAAAACATTACATGAAAAGTCCTTACACCTTTGAAAATAAGCATCCATTTACCTCCAGTAATCAAAGTACCAAAATAAGAAAATGTTATGTAATGCTCTTTTGTAATTATACCGGTATCCTTTCCTGATCTGTACTAACTGTGTGGTTAGCATTTTGGGAGGTACTGCATGTTACACACCATTAACGTGGTTATCTAGATGCCATAGTTTCCAGTGGAGTTAACTGCTTAGTTACCACCTTCGATATCATTAAATCACTTACATTATCTTATGGTAACTGTACAATTAACACATACCACCATTTTATCACAGAAAATACAAGATTTACAGAACAAGGATTCAACTGCTGCCCAAAAATCATGGACTCAGTCTTACCTTCAACTGCTCAGGGGCCTAAAGTAATGACTGAAAAAATGATTCGAAAGCATTATAAAGTTGATAGAAAGTTGATGTTTGAGTGAAGGTAAAGCCAAGGTTATAGCTTAAATATTTATTAAAGCCATTTTTTTTTTGTTTGGATAGAAGGTTTGGAGAAGAACCTGGGCAGAGAATTGTGTAGTTCATTTTTTTTTTAATTTCAATTTTTTGCTAACCCCTGGATTTGGGTCTAATCCTTAGGAACCTATGACCTTAGATTTGGGTTAGAAAAAATCTGACTTGGATCTGAGTAACAAACTAATGATTTTTTTTCTCAACTCCAGGTCAAGAGGGCTCTTTTTAAAAAGAGGGCTCTTTAAAATATGTTATATATTTCTACCACAGTAAATCAAAAAAACAAAAGTTACATGTTCTGGGCTATATATTTGGGTTTAATTTTTAGCTGGTGTGAGGAATTTGATTAAAATTTAAATAGCGATTCAAAGTGTGCTATACAAAGTGTGAATACATTTCCTTAGTATATTTGTTTGGTTCCATTTGAACTTCCTCCTAACTATGAGGATGGTTTCTTCGTGCCGGAATTCATCATGGTTGAAGAGCAGAAATACTGTGGGAAGCATATGGTAAAAGTACCATATGTATGTAAGAATACTAATTTATTTTCTGTAAAAACTTACAGTAGGCTCGTAGAACCTTATTAATAAGTTGTTTAATTTAGGAGGAAGACATGAAAATAAATTACTAAGTAGTGTAAGATAACAAATTTGTTATAAATTTTCTGTTTTTTCCCTAAACATAATATTTTTACATATTATATACTTCCAATTGTTGCTATTTTCTTCTTTTAAGGCATTCCCTTGATAGTATTTTATTTTCTAGTCTTCTTAATAATGTAGAGACATAGGTCTGAAATTTTAGTTTTATAAAAAGGTCATTATTAAAAAATTATTTCTCTGATTCAGTAGAGTACTCAAGAAAAACCTTTACCAATCTGATACAGTGACACTGTGTTCATTTAACATTAATTTTTGCTGATAGATGAGAAAAAACTACTACTGTGAGCAAACTTTATATTTGGTTGTATAGTTAGTAATTAGATAGGAAAATGAGTTATACTATAATACAGTTTCTCGGCCTTGGCACTGTTGATATTTGGGCTGGATAATTTTTTACTGTGGTCAGAGGTGGGAGTTAGTGCTGCCCTGTGCATTGTAGGTTATTTAGCAGCATCTCTGAATCTAAGTATCCCTAAATCTAGCATCCACTAGATGCCAATAGCACCCCCAGTTGTGATGATCAAAAATGTGTATGAAGTACAGCATAGAAAATGCAGTTGATAATATTGTAATAATTATATATTGTACCAGTTGGTACTTGAAATATCATGGGTGATCACTTTATAAAGCAATATGATTGTCTAATCACTATACTACACACCTGAAACTCAAACAAAATAATATTGAATGTAAAATGTAATTGAAAAATAAAATTTTTTTAAAACTCTCCAGATATTACCAAATGTTCCCTGGAGGGCAAAATCACCTCTGTTTAAGAACCACTTCACTATAGGAATCACAGACATAGAAGGAAAATAGTACAAAAATAACTGTAAATACTAGAACAGAACTAAAATTGTCCTCCATTTACCACCTTTTAGATTTTCCACCTTTGTGGTGTAGGCCATAGAAGTGGAGTTGCTTGTCTGTGAGCAGTAGCCACTGTATTTGTTTGACTCTTCTCCAGATGGCCCTGAAACCACTGGGTCTGAGCAGTAACCACTAGACATGTAGCTTTTTAAATTTAAGCTACTTAGAATTAAATTGAATTTTCAGTTTCTCAGTCATACCTATTGCTAGTGATTACCACATTAGCACAGAGATAGAAAACTTACATTTTATCACCTCAGAAAACTATTGGACAGCACTGCTTAAGAAAATTCATCCCAAGAATTTCAGCCAATGATTTAAAAGTTCATTGCTTCACTTTCTAAAACAGGCCTGGGATCCAGAAACCCCTAGAGCAGCAATTTTCAACCAGCGTGTAGCAAGAAGTTTTAAAACATGCAATACCTGACTACTTAGTCAAGGTCATTGACCTTTTTCCTTAGATTGTTAATTAAAAATTATGACAGCCAACACAATAATAGTCATCTGGTATGAATGCCTTGTCTTGAACCATAAATATATAGGTCTTATAATAGTAGAATTGCATCTTATTGGTCACATCACATAATACGGTTGCATCTAATTGGTTAATTCTTAGTACTGGAAATTCTTATATACAGGTATAGGCACCTAATTTTCTTTTTAAAAAAGTCACTTTGGAGCAAAAAGAGTAGGCAATTTCTTTTTTCTTTTTTCTTTTTGTAAATCAAAATTATACCCTTTTTTTGTCAGATTGGCAACAAATATTTATTTTTCTGTGTGTTGCAGAATTTTAGTCATTAGTTTATGTGTGTCACGAGATGAAAAAAGGTTACAAATCACTGCACTAGAGTCCGTAGATGGGCTACAAGAATCCAGGAACATATAAAATAATACAGTAAATTATGTGCATTTTCCTGAGTTTATTGCTTTCATCATATTCTCAAAGAGGTCAGTGATTCCATAAAAACGTAGTGATCATCTGATCTAGGAATTATTTTGGCTGCATTTGATTTCTGATAGTAGTAAAAGTTGTGTCGATATCTTATACTGCCACCAAATTGTCACTCCACTTAAATGAAAAGAGGCCAGGAATTTTTGTTTTTTCTTAAGTTGTGAAGGATCTCTTTCTTGAACTTGATGAAATTCTGATCTTCACTCAGTATGTGATGACTGGGCTATTCAGCTGTCACACACTTCGAAAGTTATAGAATATCCTGGGAATTACTGCAACTGCTTTCATTTCTCCTTCCCTTTCCCAGAATAAACACTGGACTTTATCATAAACAAGTTTTTTTAATTAATGGGGAATTTTGCCCCTTGATCTACAGGGTTTGAAATTTTTATGATACTATTTTTTTAATGTATAGAGTTGGATATGACAGGGAAAATGTTTGGGAATAGGTTTATTGTGACCATAACCATTATTTGCAATGTTATATATAAAATCCTTTGTTAATATCATAGTACCTATATCACAGGTTTTCTGTTCAGAATTTGAGTTTTTCTGATAGTGAACAGGCTTTATAGATATAAGTATTTTTCATGTGACAATTCTGTAACCTCAGTTTTTCTTATTGGGATCAGGTCTGAAGGTTGAAGTGACTCATTGTGGAACAATGAGACGGAAGTACCGTGTTTGTAATGTAACAAGAAGACCTGCCAATCATCAAACGTAAGAACACCTAGTGTTTATCCGCAGAGAGGATGTGAGGTGGCTTGCTTTAGTCAGCGGACGCAGACTTTTGCTGGCTCATAATGAGATGAGTTATTAATGTGTGCTTTTTTCCCCCAGCTTCCCTTTACAGTTAGAAAATGGCCAAACTGTGGAGAGAACAGTAGCACAGTATTTCAGAGAAAAGTATACTCTTCAGCTGAAGTACCCACACCTTCCCTGTCTGCAAGTGGGGCAGGAGCAGAAACACACATATCTGCCACTAGAAGTAATGTGTTTGGGCTTCTTATTACTATTCTCTTATTCATCTTTCTGTTGTAGTCTGTTATGGACTGTAAATTTATACTCACATTTATTTTGGAGATTTGTTTTTAAGTTTTATTCAAAATTTTTGGTAATAAAATAATAGGAAAACAATGTATCTGCAATCCTGCTACTCTAAATGTAACCACTCTTAGCATTTTGATACACTCCTTCTCAGACTTTTTATTCAAGCCTGCATTTCACCAAACTATTATACTGTAGAGCAGTATTGTTGACTATTTTTTAATTTAATGATATCAAAAAGAAGTTTAATGAAGTAGATTTTAAATTTTCTTTTCCTATGTAATTAGCACCTAGTTAAAAAATATATATATACATCTAGTTTTTTTATTTATAGGTTTGTAATATTGTGGCAGGGCAGCGATGCATCAAGAAGCTAACAGACAATCAGACGTCCACTATGATCAAAGCCACAGCAAGATCTGCACCAGATAGACAAGACGAAATTAGCAGATTGGTTAGTACTAACCCTAGACATGGGAATTAAAACTATATTAAGGCAGCCCTGACCTGTGTGTCTCGGTTGGTTTCACAAAGCGGAAGGTCACCAGTTCTATTCTGTTCAGGACACATGCCTGGGTTACAGGTTTGGTCCCCTTTTGGGGGGCATACCAGAGGCCATCAATTGATGTTTCTCTCTCATATCATTGTTTCTCTTCCTCTCTTCCACCCTCCTTTCTCCTGTCTCTAAAGTAAATAAATAATAAGGTAACATTAAACACACACACACACAGAGTGATGCCTCAGTACTCACCCTTCAGAACTCGTCAGACCTGGTCCTCCTTACATGTTGATGAGAAAAAAAATGTTTCAGTACTTGGCACTCAAGCATTGCACCTGCTAGAACTTGTATGAATCATGACACCACCCCGCAAGAGAAAATGCTTCAACTGTTGCTTGCTTGCCCCTCGTGGGAATGAATTAATGAGTGCTGAAGTACTACTATGTGTGTGTGTATTAGGGTGAGCTACTGAAGAATCATATCCTTATCAGCTCATACCGTATTGCTGTTTCATGAGCTGTCAGAATTAAAAGGAATCATGGCAATAAATAATCTAGTGGTGTTCTGGGGGTAAAACTTAGTGAGTTCTACGAGAAGGGTTAGATTCTTCTACTTTAATCCCAAACTCTAATTAGGCACAGAACAGATTCTCTCAGAACTAATGTTTCCATTTGGTGAACTGAAACTTTATTGCCTCCCACCTAAAAGAGGAAGGAAAAAGGAAGAAAAGTAAAGATCTTATGACTAGGGACAGTGAAAATGTAGCACTCAGCATAGAAATGCCTAGTCCCCAGTATCAGGATGGCAACTTCAAGATGAATAAAGAAATGTAAAACAGCTCTCACCCTGTAAGTCAGCACTCTTCAACCAGTGTGCCATGGCAGGCACACCAGTGTGCTGCAGGAATCTTTAAAATATGCAGTACCTGACTATTTACTCAGGAAAACTGACCTCTTTTTCCCTTAGATTGCAAAAAAAAAGACAGTCGCCAACACAGTAGTTGTCCAGCATGAATGAGTCAAAATTATACCTATTTTTTGGTTAGATTGGCAAAAAATACAACTTCGGTGTGCCACAGAATTGTAGTAGTTTATGTGTGCAGTGAGATGAAAAAGGTTGAAAATCGCTGATGTAAGATTTTTAAATGGGGAGGAAGGAGGAGTTACCAGTACCACTTTATAAAACTGACGTGATAAGGCAAAATGAAAAATAAAAGGCACCTGGATTTTATGTTCTTCTTTAATATCATTTAAATTGCCCGAGTGAAGAAAAAAAAGTCTGGAAATATGAATATTACCTAAAACGACTTCACACCACTTTCAAAAGCAATCTTAAAGATTGTTGAAAAAAGGTTATAGGGCTCTTTCATTTTGTAAGCCAATTACAGAAGAATTTTATTTCTTATAGTTTTAAAAGGAGTGCATAAAAGTTGCTACATGATATTTAATTAGAAAAATACAGTGTGGTTTTCATGGATTTTTATCTGATCTACTGTGACAAGATTTTGAAAACTTAGACATTAGAACTTCTCACTATATAAAATCTCAACAACTACTTCCAACTTACTATATAAGACTACTGTCAAAATTAATGATTAAACATTTAGCACCTAGCACATCATGCAGTGAGTCTTGGTAAATAGAAGTTATTATCCTGTGTAATCTTACTATGGAAAACACACACAAGAAGTGGATGGAGTTTAAGAAGAAATGGTACACCAGTGACTGGCTTGTGAACAAAATTAACTGAGGAACAAAATAGAATCAGAGGCATTAGATACATGGAACAGTCTGACAGCTGTTGGAGGGTCAAGGGAAGGGAGGGCTGGAAGAAAGAATGTAAAGGGATTAGCCAGAGAACGTATATGCATGACCCGTGCACACAGACAACATTGTGGTGCGGGCCTGAAGGTGGGGGTGTTGGAGGGTTAGGAGCTAGGTGGAAGTGGTAAAAACGGGGGAAAGGTGGGGACAACTGTAATAGCATAAACAGTAAAGTAGAAAAAGATGCATCAGTGCCTAATTTAGGAAACAACATTTCCTGCTTACTGTGGGGGGATTCTTTTAACATATTTAGCTCATACAAATCTTTAAAAGATTTTATTTATTTATTTTCACAGAGAGGGGAAGGGAAGGAAAAAAAGAGGGAAAGAAACATCAATGTATGGTTGCTTCCTCCACGCCCCCTACTGTGATTCTGGCCCACAACCCAGGCACGTGCCCTGAGTGGGTATCAAACTGGCAACCCTTTGGTTCGTAGGCTGGCACTCAGTCCATTGAGCCACACCAGCCAGGACTCATATAGGGGTTTTGTTTTTTTTTTAGGTTTTTTTTTTTTAGTTTTTTTTTTATATGGATTGTTACTCAAAGACTTAAACATTGCTTTCCCTTAGTGACCCTATTTGCCCTTTACTCTGAGACCAAGTAAAAATGTTTTGAAAAACTGTTACTATATAGCATTCTGCAAACATGAATTACACTTTGAGAGCCAAGTCTACATTGAATTATGGTAAATTCCTTATATGTATGGATATACTATGTAAAAATTATCATCTGTATTTTGTACTGGCTTTCTTATCTATCTTAAATGTATCCCATTAAGTAAATTTTTACAACATGGCACTTTAATCTGAAAATACTGAAGTAAATTTTATATAAATTGTAAATCAGGTAATTGGTGGGGGGAGCCATAGTAATGGGGGGGTAGGATTGCCAATAGTTGCTGTTAAACCCTGTGTGATTTTAATAATATATATCTGGATCTTCTAATTAGAGGTTCTTAACCTTATTTAAGTTAGGTATTTCTTTTACAATCTCTAGACCATCCTCCCCAAAATATATTAGTTCTAATCATATAAAAGTACCACTCTCATGTGTAGTGGATACTTGAAATTTCTACTACTCAACCTAATACATTTAAATTTTTTATAAGTTACCAGGACGTTCACAGCCTCCCTACAGTCCGTTAATAATCAGTGGTCCTGGGTTAAGGGGATTTCTTCTCTGTAGTTAGGGCACCATTAACCAGACCTGCTATAAAATATTGTTGACATAGTGAAGGAAAAAAAAAATAGAGTTCTAATAAGTAAAGCAGGACATTTGGGGAAATTTTGAAAGTAACTACTGATCTTCTCTTCATAGGTGAGAAGTGCAAATTATGAAACAGATCCATTTGTTCAGGAGTTTCAATTTAAAGTTCGAGATGAAATGGCCCATGTAACCGGACGCGTACTTCCTGCTCCTATGCTCCAGTACGGAGGACGGGTAAAACCTCTTGATAGTTTTTAATTGTAAACATACAGTTTCTGTGTACAGAGAGAAGGGCATTCCTAGCTAAGGCTGGAATTTAGAAACTTTTATTGTTTCAATAATATTTTTTTGTTTCGAGATGTCTTTGCTTGAGTTTAGAAGAGTATGTTTTTCTATGATAAAAATATAACATTGATTTAGAATAACCTATTTCATGCAGAATATTATATATATATGCGTATTGAAATAAACTATGTTAAATGTTTGTTCTTTATTACCATATTTCTCTTTCTTTTTTTAAAACTTTATTTAGTTATTTTTCAAGTACAGTTTTTTGTCTATTTCTCCCATCCCAGCCTCCTGAGGCCCGTGCTCCCCACCTCCCATTTCCACCCCCCTTAGTTCTTGTCCCTGTGTCCTTCCTATTTGTTCCTCCAAATCCCTCCCCTTTTCTCCCCTTAAATTCTCTTTCCTCTCCCCTCTGGTCACTGTCAAGACGACAGTTCTCTATTTCAGTGTCTTTTTTTATTCTTGCTTGCTCGCTTGTTTTGTTGTTTAGCTTCCTGTTAAAGGTGAGATCATATGGTATTTGTCTTTCAACACCTGGCCTATTTCACTCAGCATAATGCTTTCCAGTTCCATCCATGTTGTTGCAAAGGGTAGTAGCTCCTTCTTTCTCTCTGCTGCATAGAATTCCATTGTGTATATGTACCACAATTTTTTGATCCATTCATTTACTGATGGGCACCTAGGTTGCTTCCAACTCTTGGCTATTGTAAATTGTGCTGCTATGAACATTATGGTGCATAGGTTCTTTGAAATTGATGTTTTAAAAATATGGAAAGCTTCACGAATTTGCGTGTCATCCTTGCACAGGGGCCATGCTAATCTTCTCTGTATCGTTCCAGTTTTAGTATATGTGGTGCCAAAGCGAGCACTCTCTTTTTTTTTTTCTGCAGAATCGGACAGTAGCAACACCAAGCCATGGAGTATGGGACATGCGAGGGAAACAGTTCCACACAGGAGTTGAAATCAAAATGTGGGCTATAGCTTGTTTTGCCACACAGAGGCAGTGCAGGGAAGAAATATTGAAGTAAGTCTTGTCATTAGTTTGGCTTTGGGACCTTTTTGTGTTTAAATTTTGTATTTCAGTTTTAAATATTCAGATAATGATCTAACCCATATTGCCTCAGTATCAAGTATACTTAATCACTGAGCCTTTAAAAATGCCTTTTCTAATTGCTTCTTGGCCTTTTGACTAAGATCGAGTGTAAAAATGCTTTTTCTTGCCCTGACCAGTGTGGCTCAGTGGATTGAGTGCTGGCCTGTGAATCAAAGGGTCGCTGGTTTGATTCCCATTCAGGGCACATGCCTGGGTTGTGACCCAGGTCCCCAGTAGGGGGCACTTGAAAGGTAACCACACATTGATGTTTCTTCCCTCTCTTTTTCCTTCCCTTTCCCTCTCTAAAAATAATAAATAAAATTTTAAAAAACAAAGCAAACGTATAACAATGCTTTTCGTCAATATTTTGATGAAGATTCTTAAATTTGTTAGTTGTAGTAAAGTCACTGATTCAGTCTTCAAGGCATTTGTGGTATAGCAGGAGCATCATTGACCTTTGGTAGAAAAAAAAACAAATTGCTACTTCCTAGCATTTTTAGAGTGGATAATTTTTTTATCTCATTATGCTTCAGTTTTTTAAAATATGTTTTTTTGATTATGCATTACAGTTATTCTATTTCCCCCCCTTCATTCCCCTCTACCCTGCACACCCCTCCCCCAACAATCCCCCCTTTAGTTTATGACCATGTGTCTCAAGTTCTTTAGATTCTATATTTCTCCTACTATTCTTACCCTCCCCCTATCTATTTTCTATCTACTGTCTATGCTACTTATTTTCTGTACCTTCTCCCACCTTCTCCTTCTCCCACTCCCCTGTTGCTAATCCTCCATGTGATCTCCATTTCTATGGTTCACTCCTGATCTAGCTGTCCTCTTAGTTTGCTTTTGTTTTAGATGTGGTTGTTAATAACTCTGAGTTTGCTGTCCTTTCACTGTTCATCTTTTTTATCTTCTTTTTCTTAGGTAAGTCCCTTTAACATTTCCTATAATAAGGGCTTGGTGATGATGAACTCCTTGAATTTGATCTTATCTGAGAAGCACTTTATCTGCCCTTCCATTCTAAATGAAAACTTTGCTGGATAGATCAATCTTAGTTGTAAGTCTTTGGATTTCATGACTTGGAATACTTCTTTCCAGCCCCTTCTTGCCTGTAAGGTCTCTTTTGAGAAATCCTTTGTAGGTGACTGTCCCCTTAGCTCTTGCTGCTTCCAGGATTCTCTCCTTCATTTTAATTTTGGCTAATGTAATGATGATGTGCCTTGGTGTGTTCCTCCTTGGGTCCACCTTCTTTGGGACTCTCTGAGCTTCCTGGATTTCCTGGAAGTCTATTTCCTTTGCCAGATTGGGGAAATTCTCCTTAATTATTTGTTCAAATAAATTTTCCACTGGTGGCTATTCCTCTTCCCCTTCTGGTATCCCTATAATTCGGATGTTGGAACGTTTAAAGATGTCCTGGAGGTTCTTAAGCCTCTCCTCATTTTTTTGAATTCTTGTTTCTTCATTCTTTTCTGTTTGGTCATTTTTTTCTTCCTTCTGGTCCGCTCCCTTGTTTTAAGTCCCAGTTTCCTTTTCATCACTATTGGTTTCCTGTGCATTTCCATTCATTTCAATTAGTTTAGCCTTCATATGTTCCTCTAATTTGTGACTAAAATCAACCAGTTCTGTGAGCATCCTGATCACTAATGTTTTGAACTGTGCATGTGAAAGTTTGGCTACTTCTTAGTCACTTAGAGTTATGGGCTCTGGGGCTTTGAGTTCTTCTTGAGCCATAATGTTTTGCTCTGTTCTCGCCTGTTAGGTATGAGGAGGGGAGCCTTAGGTGTTCACCATGGCGGGGCCACCCAGGTTACTGGGTTGTGAGGCTGTATGTGGGGGCGGGGTCAGAGAGGGACAGTGGCAGTGTCCTATGCTGCTTCCTGCCACTGGGGCCTGCACGGTCTATCTCACCGCTCACTCCTTTGCCAGTTTATCGGCGTGCAAATGTGTGACCACGGTCAGCCTTCAGTGGATCTGCTGCTGCTACTGCACACCTGGGATCTGCTCACAGCTGCCAGGGTGCCTGGTTCACGTGCCCCGGTTGATGCGGTGGATCTTTCCTGCCTGATCCCGCTCTGCTGCTGGCTCTGCCCCTCTTACCGGTTTGGCTGAATGGTTTGTTGTTGTCAGACTTCCGTATAGTTCAATTTTCTGTGGTTTGACTGAATTTTTGTTGCTAAAACTTTGTTGTTTTTAAACTTGGTTGTGCGAGAAGTCACAGTGTTTCCACCTATGCCTCCATCTTGGCGGAAGTCCTATGCTTCAGTTTTTACCTTTTTAGAGTACAGATAATAGTATTGATCTGCTGGGTAAAGATTAAATGAGATTCTTATTTCTCATTTGAGTTCCTTGAGTGAGTAGTTTAACACCTCATTTCCATTTCCTTCCTTTCCAAGATTTGGCCTCCATCTCCAACATTTTCCTTCTCCAGATTTTTTTCCTTCAATGTATAAATGCTCAACAATCTTCTGTTTAATTTTTTTTTTTTAATCTGCAGCTTCCAGATACCTAACTTACTCTCTTGGGCTCCCAAATCTTCTAAATCTTAGTGCTCCACTGAAACTGGTTTCTGAAAGAACTCCAGTATCTTGTCGTTTCTTATTGTCTCTTTTCAACCATTATTTTTCTCAAAATTTGTGTAGCGTTAGGTACAAATGACTGTCTTCTTGACATTCCCTCCATCCTTGCCTTTCTGGTTCCTTTTTATGTTGGCTTCTTTTCTTTGCTGTCTCCTCTCCTTTGGGACTCTAAGGACATTGGGCCTTTGGCAGTCTCAGGGGCTTCTGCCTTTGCTCTTGTTTGAGGAGGGAGGCATGCTGCTGTGAAAGACCACCAAGCCCTTTTGTGACTACTTGCTCCAAACCTTTTAGGCTCCTCTTTGACAAAGAATAATATTAAAAATCAATATGACATTTTAAATCGTTCATCTGCCTCTTAAGTCATGTCTTCATTTTCACATATTTTGGACAGAAAACTGAAGTACTGTGTATTCCCTGTATCTTCCTGGCATTTTTTTCCCATTTCCACACATGCTTCTGTTTACTATCTCTACTCATCTAGATACTGTTCAGTCTTCTGTGATTTGTGATGCTGGAAGTAATCTCTCAACTCTAAACATACTAATTTATTAATAGCCTCTTTATTTGCACTTGTCACTTCCTATGTAAGGTAGAATTATACTATAATTATTTGTGTAGCCCTGGCTGGTGTGGCTCAGTGGATTGAGCACCGCAATGCCTGCATACTAAAGGGTCGCTAGTCCAGTTCCCAGTCAGGGGCACATGAGAGGAAACCACACATTGATATTTCTCTCCCTCTCTTTCTCTCACCCTTCCCCTCTGACTAAAAGTTAGTAAATAAAATCTTTAAATAATAATAATTGTTATTTGTGTAAATTTCTTATCTCCTCTCTAGAATCTAATTTCCTTAAGAAAATGATTATTGTCTAGTTTAAATCTCTAGTAATTGCTGGTCAGGTCCCCATTTGGGGTGTGGAAGAGGCAGCCAACGCCTGTTTCTCTCTCACACATCAAACTTTCTGTCCCTCTCTTCCTCCCTTCCTTCCCCCCCTTCTAAAAATAAATGGATAAAATAAAAAAATTTTTAATCTCTATTAATAGGTCCTATAAAGTGTGCCCATAATGAATAGTTGTTACGTGATTTAGAGACCAATTTACAAGTGATTTCAAAATCTACCTTGTTTTATTATATGAGAAATAAATTTTTTTCTATTTAATTCTGTTCATTCTTTTTTATTAGCTTCAAATTTCTAAATGTATGATTGAAGATTCCCTTACTATACTTTTCTCTAAAGTTTTTAACCCCCTGTTTTCTTTATTTTTAAGATTTTATTTATTTTTAGAGAAAGGGAGGGAGAAAGGAAGATAAACAGCAGTGTGTGGTTGCCTCTCGTGCGCCATCCACTAGGGGTCCTGGCCCGCAAACCAGGCACGTGCCCTAGACTGGGAGTCAAACAGGCAACCTGTGCTCAATCCACTGAGCTATTCCAGCCAGGGCATAACCCCTGCTTTCAGGTGAAATGTCACAAGGACAGTTTAACTGCAATGCTGCGATTATCTTACTTAACCTCCAGAGACCAAAGGAAAATCCTCCAATTATTTTTCAAGCTTAGAGTTATTTTTTCCTTTTTACATTTGTTATTCGTGGCTTGACAGAAGTCTCATAATCATTGGGGTTATGGCTCTTGTTCAGGCTGACTGAAAATATTCGCCTTTACATTCCTTGAATTATTCCCGAATAAGAAAATGGAGAAGGGAGTTTCTGCGCACTCAGTCTCTGTCCTGATGGGATTGGAGTGTTTTTGGTCAGAGATAATTCAGATCCTTGACTTAGGACCTTATTTTTGTTTTGTTTTTTCGTGGAATAGATTAGTTTTATTTTTTATTGTGTTTTTTTCCATTACCGTTTATTTCCCCATACCCTCTTCTACCTCCACCCAATTCCTCCCCCTAAGACCTTATTTGTTTTAAAAACAAGTAGTTATTGTTAAACCTTGACATCATTACTCATTTATCCTAGGCTAAATATAGGATTTTGTTTAAACATGAAATTATTAGCCTTTTGGGTTGGTTTGTGTTTGTTTGTTTGTTTGTTTGTTTGTTTTTATATTTTTTAAGATATCTTTCCTGATATCTTAGTTTGAGAAAGGTAATACTTTGGAAGGAAATTCAGGACTAGGTCAGAGTTCTGACTGTACCATTTGACTTTGGCCAAATATTTAATGTCTCTGAAACTGTTTCCTGATCTATAAAATGGAAGTAATACCTGACCTACCACTTTCTTATGAATCTTGTCGGGATCAAATTAGAAAATGTAAAATAGCTTATATTTATCATGTTAATGTCTTGGGCAGTGTGCTAAGTGCTTTGCATGTATTGTCACATTTAATCTGCACACCAACCCTATTCTTTTTTTCCCCCCTTTTAAGATTTCATTTATTTATCTTTAGAGGGGAAGGGAAGGCGAGAGGGAAAGAAATATCAGTGTATGTTTGCCTCTCATACATCCCCTGCTGGGAACTGGCCTGCAACCCAGGCATGTGCCCTGACTGGGAATTGAACCGCAATCCTTTGGTTCGCAGGCCCGCACTCAATCCACTGAGCTACACCAGCCAGGGCCCAACCCTGTTCTTAAAGTAATCATTTTACAGATGAGAGAAACTGGAAAAATTTGCCTAAAATTTCATAGCTAGTAACAAACAGGACCTCTCAGGCAAACTCTAGAGCTGAGCTCCTAACCAGCATACTCTGTTACTAACGCTCTTTGTAAACTACCAAAATGCCACATAACTGTACAGAAGTGTTAGTGTTAATTCACAAACAACCCACATTGTCCTTCACATCAGTGGTCTGGTGACCTCCTCATTTATGGAGTACATTAATCTTTGCTTCATTCTCCATTCCCTTCCCAAACTTTCTATTACTACTTTGTGCTTGTCAATGACTAGACTAAGGTTTTATTTTTAGTGTTTTCTCCTTCTAGGGGTTTCACAGACCAGCTGCGGAAGATTTCCAAGGATGCAGGGATGCCCATCCAGGGCCAGCCTTGCTTCTGCAAATACGCACAGGGGGCAGACAGCGTGGAGCCCATGTTCCGGCATCTCAAGAACACCTACTCAGGGCTGCAGCTCATTATCGTCATCCTGCCAGGGAAGACACCAGTGTACGGTAAGGCTAGCTTAAGATTGCATTTTTCCTCAACTATGCTAAAACATATCCTAAAACTTTAAAAAATTGAAACATTTTATACCTTATAGTATTTAAAACTATGTACTGTTACTCTAAAAAGACAGATCGGGAGGGCAAACTACATGGTCTGTGAAGAAACCCTGTGAAAAGAACTTCAGTAATTAAAGTAGGCATTACAAAATAATGGTTATGGGGAGAATTGTTATTAAAAATGCCCCTGAGCTAACTTGATTACCAATACAATATAGTGGTTGTGGACTTAGACTAGACTGCTTAATGCCCATGTTACTGATGGGTGTAGGGCCTGTGTATGATCTGGTTGAATTACTTAAACCTTGGTTTCCTCATCTGTGAGATTGGATGCTAATACCTGATCCCTACAAGGTAGTTGTAAGGATTAAATAAGTTTACATATTAGAGCCTAAGATAGCACCTGTCATGTACTAAAAACTTGGTATTTATTAGCTATTATTATAAACAAATTAAAGTTTTGTGAGATTAGTGAGTTAATATAAATCATTGAATCATTGAAAAACACAAAGTATAATTTTCAAACTACTGGAGTACAATCAGTGATGCTTAGAAATTATCAAAATATTCACAAAGGAATTATTACATTTGACTACATAAAAATTAAAATCGCTGTAAGTCACAAATGTATGACTAAAATTGAAAGGAAACCAGTAGAAAGTGAAAAATATTTGCACTAAATGGAGACAATAAAAGACTAGTTTATTATTAGTTAAAATATTCTTATAGGTATGTTACTGTGTTCAACAAAGGAAAGAATTATACTTTAAAATGAATGTGCAGAGAATGTAAACCAGCCCCTGGCTGGCGTAGCTCAGTGGATTGAGTTCAGGCCTGTGAACCAAAGGGTTGCCAATTCGATTCCCAGTCAGGGCGCATGTCTGAGTTGCAGGTAAGGGGCAATCATACATTGATGTTTCTCTCCCTCTCTTTCTCCTTCCCTTCCCCTCTCTCTAAACAAATAAATAAAATCTTTAAAAAAGAATATAAACCAAAATTTCTCAAGAAAAAACAAGTACCTGGCTGGTGTAGCTCAGTGGATTGAGCGCGGGCCTGCGAACCAGACAATCGCAGTTCGATTCCCAGTCAGGGCACATGCCTGGGTTGCAGACCTGTTCCCTGCAGGCCAGTTCCCAGCAGGAGATGCACAAAAGGCAACCATACATTGATGTTTCTCTCCCTCTCTCCTTCCCTTCCCCTCTGAAGATAAATAAATAAAATCTTTAAAAAGAAAATATGGTACAGAAGAATAGACTAAATTATTTAAAAAAAAGAAAAAAAAAAGAAAAAACAAGTAAATATATGAGAAAATGTTAATTTTTACCAGTAGTTAATGTACAAATTAATAAAAAGCAAAATTGTTAGCTACTAAATTAGCAAGTATATTTAAATAATATAATACCTAGTGCTTGTGAGTATATAATGAATCTAACATTTTAATCCCTTGTTGATGTATTAAAATTGATAAAATCCTTCCCATCAAAATTATAAAAGTGTTTTTAGTTTGCTCTTCAGTATTTCCAGTATTTTGAAATTGAATACATTTCAAAAATGTATTCAAAGGAAAGAATTCATAATGTAGAAAAATCTCTGTGCACGAAATTTTTGTAATATCTGTAATATTTAAAAAATACTAAGAACCACCCTGGCTGGTGTGGCTCAGTGGACTGGGTACTGGCCCGTAGGGTCAGTACCTGTACCTGGAACCAAAAGGTCGATGGTTCATTCCAGGTCTGGGCACCGGCCTGGGCTGCGGGCCAGGTCCCCAGAAGGGGGCACAAGAGAGGCAGCCATACATTGATGTTTCTCTCTCTTTCTCTTTCCTTTCCCCTCTCTCTAAAAATAAATAAAATCTTAAAAAAAAAACTACTGAGAACTGGTTTTAATCAATGGGTAAGTTGTAGTACATTGATGAAATATTATGCAGTGGTTTAAAACGATGGTTATAAATTCAAAAGGTTTTTTTTAAGTTGTGACAAAAGACAGGTTTTAAAGTGTTGGTAAAATCAGTAGGAGAAGAACAAAAAATTGAAAAAGAGACACAGGTCATAAAATAGAAAAACAAATGGTCAATTATAAAAAGGATGGTCTGCCTCATTAGTTATTAAAGAATATGAACTATAATAAGTTATTTTCACCAACAATTACAACACTTATTTTTGGCAAAGATGTGATGAAGTATACGCTCTCATACACCATCGATGTAAAGAAAAGTTGGTATTAACAGCCTCCCAACTGGTGTTCTTGCTGGCTTTCCCTCTATTTATTTCCCTTTTAGTCCATTCTCTACACTGCTTCAAGGGTGATTTTTTTTTTAATTAATAGAATTAATTAATCTTCCTTACTATATGCACAATTTTCCCTACTATTAATATCTTGTATAAGTGTGGCACATTTAATGAAGCAATATTGATAAATTATTAAAATATTTCACAATTTATTCATTCTTTGTGTTGTAGAGGTCTGTAGGTTTTGATGTGAATAACATCATGAATCTACTATTACAGTATCTTACAGAACAGTTTCACTGTGCCAAAAGTCCCCGGTGTGTCCTTCTCTTCATCCCTCCTTCCTGCCCTCCCTCCCTCTCCTCAGACCCCTGACAGCCACTGGTCTTTTTATGTTTTTATGCTTTTGCCTTTTCTGAAATGTCATATAGTTGGGTCATAGGGTATACTGTACCCTTTGTTAATTGGCTTTGTTCACCTAGCAGTATGCATTTAATGCTCCTCCATATCTTTCTGTGGTTCGATAAATAAGTTCTTTTTGTTGCTGAAAATTTGTCATCGTGTTAATGGACTGCATACAGCCTGTTAGTCATTTACTTATTGAAGGGAATTTTGATTGCTTCCAGTTCTTGTCAATTATGAATAATGCTCCTGTAAACATTCATGTGCAGGTTTTTGTGTGGACATAAGAGTATCTGTGTTTTTTTTTTCTTTTTGTACTAAAGTAAGTCATAGTGTGTTTTTAATTTCAAACTCCAGTTTATTTTTGGTCTTTAGGAGAACAGTTGATTTTTGCATGTATACTTTGTACCCTACAGCCTTGCTATAATCACTTAGCTAGTTCCAAGCAGCTTTTTGTCATTTCTTTGGGATCTTCTGCACAAACAGTTATGATGTCTTTTATATTCTTTTTCTCACATTAGCTAGGACTTCCAGTATGATGTTGAATAGGGGTAGTGAGAGGAGACATTCTTGCATTGTTCCTGATCTTCGGGGAAAGCATCTAGTTTCTCAGCACTAAGCATGATGCTAACTACAGGTTTTCTGTAGTTGTTTTTTATCAGGTTGAGGAAGTTCCCCTGAATGCTCGTTTGCTGAGACTTTTATCATAAATTCATGATGTAGTTTGCCATATCCTTTTTCTGTATCTGTCGATATGATCCTCTGATTTTTCATTTTAGTCTTTTAATGGGATTAATTGATTTTTGAATGTTGAGCCCATCTTTACATACCTGGCATAAATCCCACTTGATCATGGTATAAAATCCAATACCACTTTGGATTAAATTTGCTAATATTTTGTTGATTTTTTAAAAAATTATGTTACTGTTGTTCAGTTACAGTTATCTGCATTTTCCCCTCACCCCAGCCAAGCCCACCTCCCTCCCCAGCTTCCACCCTCCTCCTTGGTTTTGTCCATGTGTCCTTTATTGTTGAGGGGTTTTGCATCTATGTTTATGAGAGGTACTGGTCTATAGTCTTTCTTGTAAGGTCCTTATCTGGTGTTGTTAGAGTAATACTGGCCTCAGGCAGTAAGACAAGAAGCACTTCCTCTGCCTCTGTTTTCTAGATGCGATTGTGGAGAATTGGTGTTATGTCTTCTTTAAATGTTTGGCAGAATTCACCAGAGGGACCATCTGGGCCTGGTACTTTCTTTTTTGGAAGTTTATTAATTATTGATTCAATGTCTTTAATAGATGCAGATCTATTCAAACTGTCTAGTTTTCTATGTGGGTTTTGGTAATGTCATTCAAAGAATTGGTCCAGTTTATGTAAGTTATCAAATTTGTGGGGCTGGAGTTTCATAATACTCTTTTATTATCTTTTAAATGTCAATGGGACCAATAGCAATCAATGATCCAGTTTTCATCTCTGATATTAATGATTGGTGTCTTCTCCCTTTTTTCTTAGTTAATATGGCTAGAGTTTTATCAGTTTCATTGGTCTTTTCAAAGAACCAGCTTTTTGTTTTTGTTTTTTTTTCTATTGATTTCTTATTTTCAACTTTATTGATTTCTACTCTAATTATTAATATTTCTTTCCTCTGCTTGTTTTAGGGCTATATTGTTTTTATTTTCTTTCTAAGGTGGAAACATAGGAAATTATATCTTTTTTTTTTTTAATTTTTATTTTTAGAGAAGAGAGAGGAAGGAGGGGAGAGAGAGAGAAACATTGATTCATTGTTCCATTGATCTGTGCATTCATTTGTTTCTTCCCACATGTGCCCTGACCAGAGATCCAGCCTGCCGAGCTACCTGGCCAGGGCTTTCCTCTTTTCTAATAAATGCATTCAATTCTGTAAATTTTCCTCTAAGCATTGCTTTCACTGGATCCCACAGATTTGATAAGTTGTTTTTCATATTTCATATCGTTCCAAATATCTTTAAATTTCTCAAGGCTTATTTGATCCATGTTATATAGAATCATGTCATTTAATGTGGAAATATTTTGGGATTTTTTTAGCTGTCTTTCCATTATTGTTTTCTAGTTTAATTCCATTGTGATCTGAGACCACATTATGTATAATTTCTATTCTTTTACGTTTGCTAAGGTGTGTTTTTGGACCAGAATGAGATCTATCTTGGTGAATTTTCTATGTGAGCTTGAGAAGAATGTATTTCTGCTGTTAGCAGATGAAATATTTTATAGATGTCTCCTAGAGTCAGTTGATTGATGCTGCTGTTCAAGTCGACTGTATTCTTGCTGATCTTCTGCCTACTA